TGGAGAGGAGGAGACCTCTGTGGATCATTGGGCTCCCGGTAGAAACCTCCTGAACCATGAACACTGAAGGAATCCTAACCATTGACGCCTTTCCACACATTACTTCCTGCTTTGGTAGTGGACATAAATCCTGAGGTGTGTTTGTGAGCGTGGGTGTCGATGTTTGTTCAGACACACACACACACACACACACACACACACACACACACACACACCCCCCTATCAGCTCTAGAAAGCTCCTGCAGCTGAAGAGGAGAGGAGGTGTGAAAGGGAATGTTAATGGTACCTGTGACAGCCAGAGCCGATAAGAAAGGAAACACAGGCAGAGGGGAGAGTGTGTGTGGGGGGGTAAACTGTGAGGGGGTTGTTAAAGAGGGGACAGGGAGGGAGGATGGACGGGGGAGGGAGCTTATAGCCCCAGGGGGCAATTTGCTCTTGAGCTTCAGTCCATCAATCACCCATTCATTTACTAACAGGATCGTCTGCCGGGCCCTCACACGCTGAGGGTGTGTGTATGTGTGTGTGTGTGTGTGTGTGTGTGTGTGTGTGTGTGTGTGTTATAGGGAAAACACTGTGTAATTAGATTAATATAAACAACAGTGGATTAACACTTCGAGAGGAGCAGGAAGTGTTTTACATACAGGATTTATTCAAGTAGATTTAACTTTAATTTCTACTGTTTAATATTTATTGTTTGTTTCTCAGTGTCTTCAGAGAATCACATAAAAACTGACTTATTGAAACGTCTCCTTAAATACTTCAGTATTTTTATTTTGTGCAACTTTAACTTTATACTTCCACTCTACTACAGCTGGAAGGCAGATATTGTGGAGAGCCGGGGCGAAACTGTTTTCTTTACTACTGTTTCCTTTTATTAAGATCAGTTTCACAGCCTCTTCCCTTAAGGGAGACATTTTCTATCACTGAGTATGATTATTTCATATTATATTTAATAACAGTAACAGCAGAGAACGGCTGATAAACTGAACAATGAACCCAAACAGTGAACTCAGTAACTGAAGGAGGGTTTGAGCAGATTATTTCCTGTGAATATTGATTATTGAGATTATATTTTTATACCATTCTCTGTCTGTATTCTGTGTTTTTATCATATTAACAATCATACAGACTTCATTTTGTTCTGTTCTGACAGATCAGGCTGTTGATCAGAGACTGATCACTGTACACTGTGATCAATAATCATAATAATCCTAATATACACTGTGTTTAAGTCTTCAGAGTTTAAAATTTTAAAATATACACAATAAATGACTTATATCTCTGCATTTCATTAATTTATGTGAAAACTAAATATAATTATTATAAAAGTTTATGTTGTTATTTAAGATCAAAATCTCAACACAAGATATATTCACATTAAAATACAATGAAAACTGATCGCTGATCAATATTCACAGGACAAAATCTGCTCAGAATTTTACACAAACTTCCTGCAGTCACTGAGTTCACTGTTTGGGTTCATTGTTCAGTTTATCAGCTGTTCTCTATGGTTATGGATATTGAATATATTATGAAATATCCATAAAATCCGTCATCCGACACAGACACATAGAGGACCAAACACATGATCCCCCCAGGTACGATTGGGGGTGTCACATGTGTTAGAATGGGGGTCGTGCTGCTCAGTGTTCGGACCTGTAATGTTGAAGAGGACATGTGATGTTTGAGGCGCTGGCAGAAATCTATACTTGTCGTTGTTGCTCCTCGTGCAGCATGTGAGGGTCTGTCGGGCCGCCTCAGGGAGGAGCTCAGCTGACGGCGCTGTGTATGGAGATGACATCAGCTCATTAAAGGAGGAATTAAAGGACCAGTGTGTAGAATTTCAGTAGAACCTGGTTTGTCCATTCTGGGCTACAGTAGAAACACGGCAGTTCAACATGGCGGACTCCGCCAGAAGAGGACCCGTCTCATTCTCAGGTAACGAGAACACAACGATTGTTAGCTTGAGGTGATTTTAAAATCATGAAAACATACCTATAGATATTATTTATATTATTGTTATTATTATTTATTATTCCATTTCTGACAACAGAGCTGTCTTATCGTTACATCCTGGGCCTTTAAAAGTCAAATCATTTATATTTTTATTGGCCAGAATCTGAAATGAGCAGCTGTTTCAGACAATGACTGAACATTTTCTAACAACTGAAACTATATATTATTGTTTTTTTAACCAATATTTCATTGGAAGGAGGTAGACCAGGTGTCTGACTTTAGGTTTATCCCTTGTCCCTTGAAGAAAGCAGGAAGGCTGTCAATGCTTATGTTAAGACGCCCCCTAGTGGTGAAACATGTGCCTGCATGTACTGGCTTCAACCTCCCACAGGTCTGGTTTTCATGCTCCAGCTTCCTCATTCATTAACTCATATTTTTATCTCCTATCAATGTAAACACACAGATGTTTAATGGGACACAATGATGAAGTGATTTTATCTGAAGGGTCAAAGGTCAACTTCACTGTGGCATCATAATGTCAGCTCTATAGCTTAGGCACAGAAGAGATTGGGACCTTATTTAACACTCACACTTTTCACTCAAAGGTCAAAGGTTATTCTGACCTCAAAATAGGTTTTTAACCATAATTCAGATTTCACACACATGCTGACTGGGACACAACGAGTGAATAATAAGTAACACAGCCTAGTGCAGACATTTAAAAGGGGGTTTTCTCCTCCTCTTGTACACAGCGCCACCCAGAGTCGTAGTACAGTTGTGTTCCCATCCACCAGTTCTGACCTCCAGCCTAACTGGTTTTACATTACAAAATGTTACAAACACAGAATACACGTAAATAAACAGGACAACAGGCTCAACAAAACAGACATAAACTACTACATACAGTTATACATACCGGTATACACATATTTATAAACATAAACAAAAAGATTAACATTTGAAGACAGTAGACGATGGTGCAGAGTGCAAAGGATGCTGGAATAAATGTATGTGCAGGACTCTTTCTTTATGTACATGAGGTAGGTGGATATGACACTATATGTACAGTATATAGTGTATGTAGTGTACACACAGTACACACTGCAGTATATCGATGTGTACTGTATGCGTAGATGATCAATGGTAAGATGTTCTACCAGTCGGTGGTAGCCAGTGCCATCTTCTTTGCTGTTGTGTGCTGGGGTAGCAGGCTGAGGGCAGCAGGCTGAGGGCAGCAGACGCCAAGAAGATCAGCAGGATCACCAGGAAGGCTGGCTCCGTCCTGGGGGTCCAACTGGACTCTTTGGTGGTGGTGTCTGAGAGGAGGATGCTGTGTAAACTGCACAGTATCCTGGACAACAACGCTCACCCTCTCCACCAGCTGCTAACCTCGAGCAGAAGCACCTTCAGCAACAGACTCATTCCCCCCCGATGTAACACAGAACGCCAGAGGAAGTCTTTTACTCCTGTGGCCATCACACTGTATAACTCACCTACCTCCGGTCGCAAGAGGGACAGTGGAGACACTGTGTCCTGAGCAAATGTCACTTTATTTTGTGTGTACTATGCTGATACAATTTTATCACTTTAAACAATTGCTCACTATATTTAGTTGTACTTATTTTATTACAATTTATGCGGCGAACTGCACAGTGCGTATTGTTGTATATTATATATACCTACGTTAACTGTCATTTTTGTGGCGTTGTTGCATTTAGTTACTGTTGTACTTTATCTTATGTTAGCTTTATCCTATTGTGCTTTGCACTTTGTTGCATTTAGTTACTTGTTTTATTTTTATGCTAGCTTTATTCTTACTCTTGTATTACTTTTCCACTTTTGTATCGCAATTGTTGTACAGCAATTTCCCTCGGGATAAATAAAGCTTCTTGAATCTTGAATTAAGTTTGTGTGATGCTATTTGTGTTTTTAAAAAGAAACTGAATTTCAACAATGAAAAAAAGAAACAGTGAACAGTTTACAGGTAAAGTAGATGTTGAAGTAGTCTCAGGGTTACTGGGATTGTTCCTGACACTGTCACTAAGAGAAGGCCTGTGGGTAAAAACTGTTCCTGTGTCTGTTTGTTGGCTGTACAGTAGCTCTGTAGTGCCTGTCTGTCTGCGTTCATTAAGTTCTCCTGAGACTCCAGCTGGTACATGAGACATGGTGACAGACAGTGAAGGTCTCCTCTCATCCAGGGATTGGAACCAATAAGACTTTACTGAAACTAATACAATTATTATCGATTCTGTTTATCGGTCCAAACCTTTATCCATTCCCTCATTGATTCCTGATCAGTTTCTGTGTGTAATAAAGTTGGTTTTCTGCCTCAGTTTCCAGCAGTGTAGACGGGTTTCAGAACAATATGCTGGTATTGATAAAAGGAATCATACGATTCCAGTGGACCAGACAACTTGGAACCGGTTCTTGATTCCCATCTACAATCTCATCTCATCCATTCTGCCTTTCACTTCCTGCCTCATTCTGAATTTTACAAACAGCTTATTAAGTTTCACCTGCAGCTCACAGAGAGCCGTCACATCTAAAGATATCAGGAGAAAACAAAAGCTGCACATTTAATCCCGCTATACTCGGCAAGAATCCATCTTTACATTGTAATCAAGCACATGTGCAATGTATATTCACTGGAATCATTCTGATATAATGAGAACTTATATATTCTATATATTACATGATACAACCACAGGGGGGTCATTCTAGCTGTACTGTAGGTTGATACTGCATTTGTTCCTCTTCCGTCTCTGCACACAACAATCACAAACATATCACACCCTGTTTTCTGTCATCCAGGTCTTTCTCACACACACACACACACACACACACACACACACACACACACACACACACACACACCCATTTCATATGCTGATTGCCCGGAGGCTTTCCCTGACTCTCAGTGAGGGCTGTATAGAGGAGAACACACCCTGGAATAATCTGAATTAATGTATATTTTCTCATTCAGATACATTATTGTGGTGTTAATGAATGGATGAGTGTAAGTCAGAGGTGAGCAGCTCCTGTAAGAATGTGGCTCATCAGGTTTTGATCTTCTCCCCCGACTGGTTCGACACACCAGAGTGGAGGAAAATCTGCTCTGGAAATCACAATAAATCAGTCGTAGCCATTCAGCTTTGAGGTTTTACTGCAAAGAACTGGAATTAATCGATCAGGTTTTGACCCGTCTGTGTTTTTCTGGGAAGCTGTCAGCGGCAGCCACATCTCCTGAGGCTCTGTTGGATCTGTGCTGGATTACGGGCAGTCTGTGTGAATGAGGAAACCTGAAGAGGAATAATGGCAGTGAATCTGAGTAAGAACGGTCGGGAACTTATGGCTGCTTATAAAGAAGTGGTGGACGGGAAGTCAGCTACAAACTGGTGAGCAGTCTCTGATCGATTGTCTATGATACAGTTACAAATGTCACTTCCTTGTTGACTGAACTCTGTAATCAAAGGATCAATATTGTTTTCAGGGCTTTGTTTACTTACGAAGGCAACAGTAACGACATTCGTCTGGCAGAAAAAGGAGGTAAGACCTGATCAGAAGACTATTTAACTCTAAAGTAGTATCAGCAGTAAAAACACATATAGTGCAGTAAAATGTGACTGATATCTGATTAATACTGTTAAAGTATCAGCAGTAAAAGTAGTTAGTAGTAAGTAGTATTGTCAGTTTAGTGCAGTAAAACGTCTTATGTTAGTTTAGTCCACTGTTTCCCAACCTAGAGCTCGGGCCCCTCCAAAGGTCACCAGATCAATCTGAGTGGATGTCAGATGATTAATGAGAGAGGAAAGTTAATACGTTTTGATACACATATTTATCTACATTATTTACTTTTCTTTGTTTTTATAAAGTATTAAAAACTATTTGACTTCTTGGGACCTCACACAGTTAATGAAATAAAACTTTAGAGGTGAAATGTCTATTTGATATAACAGCTCAGAGACTGTGAAACAAGGACACACAACTACACACTGATTGTTTTTTATTAGAGCTTACAACTCAAAAAGCTTGAGAACAACTAGTTTAACATGTTGTATTTCATAGACTTTAAAATGTATTACCCTGGGGCATCCTGATACCTCACTTGGTAGAGCGTGTGCCCTATTTACCTTATTTACCCTATTTACCCTATTTGCCCTACCCTGTACCTGAGTTAATATACTAATAATATTGTCACCCAATTACTCTGAAAAGACTTCATTTAATATTTATGATCAAGAGTGGATTAGAGAGATTTTACAGACTCTGTTGGTGCTTTTAGTGCATAATAAAGGTCAGTGATTTCATTAACTACTAGAAAACACTGTGTGTGTGTGTGTGTGTGTGTGTGTGTGTGTGTGTGTGTGTAGATGGTGGATTAGAGCAGATGGTGGAGGAGCTGAGCAGCGGGAAGGTGATGTACGCTTTCTGTCGCGTCCAAGACCCAAACTCTGGTCTGCCCAAATATGTCCTCATAAACTGGGTGAGACACACAACAAAGACAAAGACAAATACTGTTATCCTTGGATCGGTTCCTGGAGTTTATAGGTGTGTGTGTGTGTGTGTGTGTGTGTGTGTGTGCGCGCGTGTGTGTGTGTATGAACAGACAGGTGAAGGTGTGAAGGACTCTCGAAAAGGTTTATATGCCAACCATGTGAGCTCGATGGCCAACTTCCTGAAGGTAAGTGTGACTTTGATATTCTATTATTAAACTGTGAAAGTCAAACTCTTGTTTGTGTTTCTGACAAAGTGATTGATTACATCCATAACAAATCCATCCAGCAGAAGAATCTCACTCTTTGTCTGCTGGTTGTGAGACACTATGAGTGAATATATTACAAATATAACAAATATTTGTTGGCTGCAGGTCTGATTCTGAGGCTCTGTGTTGTTTTGTTTATCTGACAGTTTATTTAAAGAGACAAATAACATGGTTGCAACATAAACGTACAGTTAAAAGAACATAAAGAATAACACAAGATTGTTGCAATTGTTATCTTCAGTCTTTATTTATTTATTATTAACATGCAATTATTATTCACATTTTTAATTTTTCCAGGTGACTTCTACTCCTGCATGCTTTCATCCACAGAAACCATTAAAATGTGAAAAGATTTAGCACTTTAAGGCTGTAGAAAACCTGCTGTAGATACAGGGCAGAGGTCAACGCTGCAGATACAGGGCATGCATGTAATATAATTGTATTGATCAAACATCATGATCCATTGGGACTAGAAGAAACATTTTTGGACAGTGGATGATGCTAATTTTACTGATATAGGTTATATTATAATAATAATCCCCTAAAATTCCTGTTATCATTAACTCTGATGTGTGTGTGTTGACAGGGAGCCCATGTGACTGTAAACGCTCGGGGAGAGGACGACGTGGAACCAGACACCATCTTGGAGAAAGTGGCCAAAGCGTCTGGAGCCACCTTTAATTTCCACAAACAAACACAGGAATACAGAGACGCACCCAGAGGACCCGTGGTGAGCAGACACCATGCAACCCTGAAAAATGACATTCAATATATTAATGATTTACACTATTAAATATGTTTATAGAGAGATCTAAAGCTCCTGTGCTTCCAGTGCCAACACCAACACTCCCCTGGTGCTTAAGAACCCAGTCCCAAGCCTCCAGCTCAGCCCGGCTAAGCTAACAGTTACTTTACTGCCATAAGTTACATAATTACTCAGGGCAAGAAAAGGCGTCACTAGATGTTGCACTAGACAACCAGCATCTCAGACCAAAACAATGGCCGCTTTGGCCTCCACTGACAGAACCAGTCATTTTACCTTGCAGATAATTGTAAAACACACTTCAAACTGGACAGAAACAGAATAAAACTCACCAACACCGTCCCTGTTAGTTCAACTCTGGTTTGGTGGAAATAAATCCTTAATTCACCGACGTAGATGATAAAAACAGCAGTTTCAGTCGGAGCAGACCGGCTATGGAAACAAACCACAGAGAGGCTGCGATACAACACAGGCAGAGGGAGAGAGACACCATGTGACTCTGTATCTTTATATAGAAAATAGTTATTTGCTGATATATTAATGTTATAAATCTCAAATATAAATTGTGTTTGTTGTGGAAACCATCATTCATAAACATAATTTGTAGGAGACACAGTTTCCCAACGTCCTGTGTAGCAAACCAGAAACTAAAATATGTCTGTGTTTGAGCATAATCCCCTAATTTCACAACTTATCCTCTGATATAACAGGGTTCTGTGTATCGGAAAACCAACGCTGTGGAGGAGATTCAACAAACCAAAAAGGATGACTTCTGGGTCCAAACTCAGGTATCCATCCTGAGTATCTGAGTATGTACACTGAGTGTCTGTAGTTTCAGTTTTAAAACACTACGACTCCTTTCTTCAGAGGGATGAAGAAGTTCGTCGGCGGGAGGAGAACAAACGAGCGGAGGAGGAGAGACAAAAGCTGGAGAGGGAGAGGAGGGAGATGGACGAGAGGCAGGCAAAGGAGAGGGAGAGGAAAGCGAAGGAGAGAGCTCAGCAGATTGAGCAAGAGAAGTAAGTCAAACACAACAAACACACACACACACACACATTAAGAAAGAATCAAAGCCTCTGATTGGTGCTTTTTGTGTTTGTGGCAGGATTTATCAGAAGCAGCGAGAAGAAGAGGACAGAGATAGAGAGCAGCAGCGGATGGTGAGCTGATTGAACTGAAACAGAACCTTGAATTGGACCCTGAATTTGATGGGACCAGGATTGGAGTTAGATGAGAGCTCTTTGTAGACTTGGGCCTCATTTCCCAAAAGCATCTTAAAGCTAAGCTACAAACCTTCTTGATGCCGGGTTTGGACTGTACGATATTTCTGTCTGTTAGGATGAGAGATGTTCCAATATCATTTTGTCCTCATACTGATTCCAATATCAAGTCGATACCGAGTACCTGGGGAAAGATGGTGAATAAATCAGGGCTAATAATGAAGAAAAATGAGAATATTAACAGACAGAAATATTGTATCAGACAGACAAAGAGGCAGGTGTCTAAACGACGTCAAACAAAAGCCTCAATAATAAAATTAACTGAGGGTTAATAGAGAACTGAATAATATTTGTAATAAACCAGAATCTTTCTTTTTAATGGTGTTTACTTTAAGAAATAATTATAAAAACAACGTACAGATAACGCCTTGTGTCTGTTTTAGAGCCAGCAGGAAAACGAAACCAAGAAGACGGGAATCAACTTTGCAGCATCGGTGCAGAAAGCGAATGTGAGTGTGACTGCAAACCTACACAGACAATTACATGGAAATATAAATCAATTATTTGATTCCATTACATTAAAGTTACAAATATTGGCAGAAAGTAAGTGAATGAAAGAAGCTGTACTGAGTTGCATTATGGGATATGTTTTTTAGCTGAGCCCAAACCAGCAACAAATACTTTATGTCTCTTTAAGCTCTCGTTGTCTTTCACAGGAAGCCAAATCACTGATATCTCAGCGATCGTTCAATCCCAGAGACGTATTCAAACAGAGGGAGCAGAGCTTCGAGGCCAGCGACAGATCGTCTCCTGCTGCATCCAGACCCGGTGACCAGCACACACATCCATTAATAATAATAATAATAATAATAATAATAATAACTCATTACATTCCTGTTTTCACTCCCAGGGAAGCTCCAGAGTCCGTTTCTGTCTCAGAAATCCTCTGAGAGGGAGAGCCCGGAGCAGCCTCACTATGCTCCAGCTCCGGCTGCGGTCCCGGCCTCCTCCATGAACCCCCTGTCTCCTGTTTCACCTGTCTCACCTGTGCTGTCTTACTCACCTGTTGCAGCTGTCTCCCCAGCCCCACCAAAGACAGACCAGAGAGCAGGCTCACCTGTTCCAGCTGCAGGTCAGACTCTCTCTCTCTCTCCCCTCTCTCTCTCTCCCCTCTCTCAGTCACTCTTCAGCTGAAAGAACTCTTTAGGGGGTAAAATAATGTCCCTGGAACTTAAAGGTCCAGTGTTTCTGTTTCTGTCACTGATCCACAGTTTACACAGAAGAGGAGGAGTGGTCGGATGAGTTTGATGATGATGCAGATGAAGCTCCTCCAGGTATAAGGGCAATAATACAACCTCTAATATCTCCTTCAATAATTGTACGTGAATACAGATTTTAGGTACTTTTAACTTCACTGCATTAATATTTGTACAGAACGAACTCCGGCTCAGGTTGATCTGTACGAGGCAACGCAGCCAGCTGGGACGGAGGAGGACCTGTATGAGAACTTCTACGAGCACACCTCCACAGTGAGTCTGCGCTGATGTTTAATTCATTCAGAGGAAGATTTATTCTTCTCCTTCATTTGTTTTTCTGTGTCTGTGTCTACAAATCATTGTCTACCAAGGTTTAACATCCATTGTAACTTATGGTGTTGGTTAATGTGTTTGGTCCCAGGTGTTTGAAAGCATATTTTATCATTTTGGACAAAACCAGGCTAGCTGTTTCCCCCTGCTTCCAGTCTTTATGCTAAGCTAGGCTAACACAAGTGTCACGAGCCACATCGACCTCATGGTACACCTGCACAGGCTACGATTTTTATTTATTTATTTGTATTTATTATTAGACTGAAGACCACAACATGGAGCCCAGTGGACAGAATATCCAGGCCAAAGCTCTGTATGACTACCAAGCTGGTATGTACACACACACACACACACACACACACACACACACACACACACACACACATTTTATGTACTGAGAATGAACAATTATTGAGAAGAATTGCAAACTGAGCTTGTTTATTGAAAAACTGATTGACATCCAGTGCTTGTGAAAAGTGGTCAGTGAGTATTTTGGGACTGAGCCACTTTAAAGGGAAAGTCAAAGTCTGATGTCAAGTTTATTAATTAAAACTTAAAAGAAAGGATCTTACTGCTGACCACTTTATTACTAATTTGGTACTAATCCTGGTTGTTTTTTTACTTTTCTTAAAATACTTTTTACTCCTTTTGACTCCTTTTTGTGAATTTCCCCAGTGTGGGATCAATAAAGTCCATCTTATCTTTTGGACAGCTCTTTATGTTAATACCATTTCAATTTTGAAACTTAAAACATCCACTGAAGGTGAGCCTTATTGTCACAGAAACATAATAACAAATCATGTTTCACTATAGCTGAGCCTTTATATTTATTTTTTTAGCCTTTGTAATCGCCCCTCTTCAGTCTGAAAGACGGCCTGGGGCTTGAGCCATTCTCACCCAGAAGGTGTGTTAAAAACGACGTCGTTGAAATCCTTGCTCCAGCCTGCAGAGTCAAGGCCGAATATGGATTAAACACTCACACGCACCTTTAAGTCCCCTGTTGGCAAAAATGCTAAAAGGTTCACCAGAGCACATCCCACATGATTTTAGGTTGATCTAAAGCATGACCAACAGGGGACCCATTAAAGTCCCCTGTCGGTCTCTCAGTCCCCTGTTTGTGGGTGTGTAACGACGCCCAAGTCCCCTGTTAGATAGGTAGGCTAGTTTGCACACACACACACACTGTACATGTTGCTGTTCTCACCGTCTCCTCCACAGTGGACGACACTGAGATCACCTTTGACCCCGATGACATCATAACGGGGATCGAGATGCTGGACGAGGGCTGGTGGAGAGGTTACGGACCGGACGGACGCTACGGGATGTTTCCCGCCAACTACGTGGAGCTCCTGTAACTTCCATCAGAAATATCTTTGGTACATTAACGGTCTGATTGTTTAATCCACAGAAGAATCAATAAAACACGTCTGCAGTCTCAGTGTGTGTCGACTATTAAATACATTCAGAAATACACATTAAATAATTAGTAAATATGGGACGCGTTCCATCAAAAGGAGTCGGATGTCGCAGCGGCCCGTTTGTGTAGAAACACGTTTTTACAAGAAAATAAAATGTTGGGCTATTTTCAGTTTGTACGTGTTTCTAATTAAATAAAGTCTCAGCTTTCATACAATGTCAAAGTTAATGTAAAATACAAAGGATAAATATAGCGAGCATAAATAAAACGAAACAGGTGTCAGAGTTCAAAACACCGCAGCGTGTTTGTGTCATCTGTCAGTTTAGATCGACACGGAGACGGAGACAGATTGACTGATTGACTGATTGAGATTGACAATCAGTCAATCTGTCAATCAGTAGCGACTGATTGTGATTGATAGATTGACTAGACAAAATTAATTTTCACAACGACGACATTGCTCGACTTTTAAATTAAATTCCTGTAAGACATGCTGCTTCAGACGACAAATGGATCGACCTTCTTACGGACTATTTCACCGCACCGGCAGCTGAGAGATAGAGACAGCGGCGGCTCGACCTCCGAATCTGACTCGGATTTCGCGCTACCGCCACCGGCTGGCTCCGATCGGGATGGCGAAGAACGTGAGTGTGACGGAGGCGAGGAGGAAGATAGTCCACTCGTGGCTGACCCGATGGTAGCGTCTCTGATTATAATGATGTAAAGCACTTTGAATTGTAAGTTTATTTATTTGAATATAAACTGTTGGAGTGCTTCTACAGTGGGATATTGTTGTTGTTGTTGTTGTTGTTGTTGTTGTTGTTGTCCATTGTTTATTGGCTCCATTCTCTGGAACTGGAGTTTTCTGAACACACTGAATAAAGTTCTGATGATACTGAGAGAGTTTCAGCTCTCACTGATTTAAATAAAGGGAACAGGTGTGTAAAACCCTGACAGTCCTCACTGCGCTCCGGTAGGTGGCGCTGTGTGGGTTTGAGCTCCGCCGTTAAATTCACAGACGAAGAAGAAAGCGTTAAACGTCATTCCGCTCGGTGAAGAAGGTAAAGATGGCTGCAAGGTTACTGATCCGCTCGGCTGTCAGAGCCGCGACGACCTGCCGGGCCGCTCCGGTTCCCGCTCTGACCCGCGGGATGGCGGCTGGAGGTGAGGACGGAACCGAGCCGGAGCTTCAGAACCTCAGAGACACAGACAGACTCACAGACAGACAGACAGACTCACAGACAGACAGACAGCAACAGACACCAGACTCCATTTAAAAATCTGTAGATTTAAGGAGAAATAGTTTGGAGTTTAAACTGTGTATGATGTAAAATAAAGAGGTTTTCTTGAGTAGAATTAGACTAAAACTGTCTTTAATTCGGTTCCTATTAAAACAATAATGAACTCTTTTATAATTAAAGTTGTTTATTTCTTCCAGCTCTTCCTGAAGTTAAAGTTTATATCAGATTATATCAGTGAGGCTGAAAGTGGTTTAAATAATCATTAATCTGATTTATTCCTAGCTTCATGCTCATTCTGTAATTTCTCTTATTATTGTGTAATTTATAAAATATTAATGTTTAACTGGTGAGCCTCTGATACAGTTAATGACAGCTCAACAGGCAAAAGTTTAATTAAACAAATATGAAAAATAAAGCTTAAATTTCCAATAAAAAAATGAATGATAAACATTTACTTTGGTATAAATGCCTTTAATTTGAAATAAATCCTATAAAGTTATTTATAAACTATATTTTATTATTAATCTACATTAGGACTTTGGGAGAGTTTTATAGAAAGAGGACATCCAGATGAATTATTGTGATTTAAATGAAAGTTGATCATATTAAAGTATTAAAGTATTTTTATTGGATGAAGTATTTCTGCCTGTGTGGAGATTATAACGTCGTTTGCCTCCTCAGGGATTCCCACTGACGAGGAACAAGCCACCGGCATGGAGAGGATCGTCATGAAGGCCATGAAGGAGGGAGCGGTGAGAGTGACGGAGGAGGGATGAAACTATTGATCCACTCTCTGTCTGTAGCCTTTAAGAAGAGATTGAATGATCTGTATTGATCCTCTCTGACGATCAGTGACCCTCTGCTCTCCTCCAGGATCCCTACAGCATGATGAAGCCGAAGGAGTACGCCGGCTCCAAGGCCGACCCCCACCTCGTTCCCTCCATCACCAACAAGAGGATTGTGGGATGTGTCTGTAAGTGAAAAGATAGAAACAGTCAGTCAGTAGAGAGACGATCTGTGTGTGTCTGACCGGCTCCTCTTCGTCCTCTCTGCAGGTGAGGAAGACAACACGGCCGTGGTGTGGTTCTGGCTCCATGATGGCGAGGCCCAGCGCTGCCCCTCCTGTGGTTCCCACTACAAGCTGGTGGCCCACGAGCTCCCCCACTAACTCATCAGCCCTCTGTTATTCCAGACGCTGTCACACAGCTGTGAGCGCGCTCACTGTCTCAGATATTCCTCTCTCCTTCAGAGCGAGGTGAAGAAACATCAGACGGCCACGTTTTCCTCCTTCAGTCTCCAGGAAGTTCCTTTATCTCTGAACCCTGCGGTTCCGTCTACTTCCTGGTCTTAAGTTGCGAGCGGTCGTCTGATTGGTCTTCGGCTCGCTCTGTCACAGTACTTGATCTACCTGCTGACCTCATCAGTCTTTGCTTTACATGTTCCCGGTTCAGAGGGATCAGATGTGGTTCGGGACACAACTGTTTGATTCCAACATTTCCATTCAGCTGCAGTTTACATTCACACTGTACTGTACAATGTTACACTCTCACTCCTTTATTCCAATAAACTTTATCCACTCTGGTTTATGGTCTGTCTCTCATTTATTCTCTGCTGGTAAAGTTGTTAAATCTTCCAGTTTCCAGCTGGAGTTTGGTCTAATTCTACCTGAAACACTGGAGGAGAGCGTCTGTTGGTCCGTCAGTAGAGTTTAATGTTGTTAATGTTGAGTAGAAACTGCCAGAGGCTGTTTATTATGGGCTGTGTTTGATTCATTGTGAGGTTATTTATATGAATGATACACAACCACAGTGATAAAGCTCAATGACACTGAGCTTTATTCACTATAACATGCAGGTACAGTGTATTAATTATATAAATAACCTGAAAGATTAATAAGAATAATCAGAATCAGCCAGCTGGGAGTTAAAATATGGATAAACTGATTCAATAAACCCAAACTGACTCTTATATTGTTCATAAAGCTGATTATTAATGCTAATTCAACATTTGCAGGTTAGCGTCTGTCCGTTTGAACAGACTGAACACTTCTGAGTTCATGTTGCTGTGAGTGGATGAAGATCAGCTGTGTGAGGAAGACGAGGCTGTTTATTGAGTTTATTTGTTTACAGTGTAACTTCAGGAACATCGGGTTGAAGAGAGACAGATTGTTGCTCCAACCGTTTACTGGACGTCTGTTTATATGTGATCACTTTAAAGGAAACAGGAAGATAAACTAATTTAAACTGTGTGTGTGTGTGTGTGTGTGTGTGTGTGTGTGTGTGTGTTATTGAAGGTCTGCAGGAACAATCTGTTGCTGTCTGGTTGTTTTGGTTCTGTAGCGCCGCCCAGTGGACAGAGGGGGAACAGTTTCCTGACTCTGGAGGGCCGAGAGGTTGCAACCACTGACTGTCTGTAGTTCCCGTTGGACTCATAATGATAATACTTTATTATGAAGCTCATATTGTTGGAGTATTTCTACAGTTTGATCTTCGTTTACTTCAAAGATCTTTTACCTCTCTCTCCATTGTTTATTGGCTCCATTCTCTGGAACTGGAGTTTTCTGAACACACTGAATAAAGTTCTGATGATACTGAGAGAGTTTCAGCTCTCACTGATTTAAATAAAGTGAACAAGAGTTTTCCAGAGTCAAAATGAAACTCAAAGCAGAAACTCCTCCATTAAACTGCTGATTACTGAGTATAAAGTGTTAATATAATAATATAATGTAGAGAAGTGTTTATATGTGTGTGTGATATATGAGTAATGTCGGGCTTTAAGTTTCTAGAGACGGCGGAACAATGACGGAAAACTTTATTTAATTTATTAAAAATACAGAATTAGATTATAAATTATAGTTTGTATATTTATGTTATATTTTATTTATAATATTTATATTTATTTTTACCTGCAGTGTGTAAAACCCTGACAGTCCTCACTGCGCTCCGGTAGGTGGCGCTGTGTTGGTTTGAGCCCCGCCGTTAAATTCTCAGACGAAGAAGAAAGCGTTGAACGTCATTCCGCTCGGTGAAGAAGGTAAAGATGGCTGCAAGGTTACTGATCCGCTCGGCTGTCAGAGCCGCGACGACCTGCCGGGCCGCTCCGGTTCCCGCTCTGACCCGCGGGATGGCGGCTGGAGGTGAGGACGGAACCGAGCCGGAGCTTCAGAACCTCAGAGACACAGACAGACTCACAGACAGACAGACAGACAGACTCACAGACAGACAGGCAGCCGGTTAGCATTAGCACCGTTAGCAGAGCTGCTGCCCGCGAGAGGTCAAACGAGATATTCAGTTATTAAATTAAATTAAATTAACAGTTAAAGTTTGTGTCAGTTACAGTTAGAGTGTGTCTGTGGGTCAGTGTCTGTAGTTCAGTGTCTGTGGTTCAGTGTCTGTGGGTCAGTGTCTGTGGTTCAGTGTCTGTGGTTCAGTGTCTGTGGTTCAGTGTCTGTGGGTCAGTGTCTGTGGTTCAGTGTCTGTGGGTCAGTGTCTGTGGGTCAGTGTCTGTGGGTCAGTGTGGGTCAGTGTCTGTGGGTCAGTGTCTGTGGGTCAGTGTCTGTGGGTCAGTGTCTGTGTGGGTCAGTGTCTGTGGTTCAGTGTCTGTGGGTCAGTGTCTGTGGGTCAGTGTCTGTGTGGGTCAGTGTCTGTGTGGTTCAGTGTCTGTGGGTCAGTGTCTGTGTGGGTCAGTGTCTGTGTGGGTCAGTGTCTGTGTGGTTCAGTGTCTGTGTGGTTCAGTGTCTGTAGGTCAGTGTCTGTGGTTCAGTGTCTGTGGGTCAGTGTCTGTGTGGTTCAGTGTCTGTGTGGGTCAGTGTCTGTAGGTCAGTGTCTGTGGTTCAGTGTCTGTGGTTCAGTGTCTGTGGTTCAGTGTCTGTGGGTCAGTGTCTGTGGTTCAGTGTCTGTGGGTCAGTGTCTGTGGGTCAGTGTCTGTGGTTCAGTGTCTGTGGGTCAGTGTCTGTGGGTCAGTGTGGGTCAGTGTCTGTGGGTCAGTGTCTGTGGGTCAGTGTCTGTGGTTCAGTGTCTGTGTGGTTCAGTGTCTGTAGGTCAGTGTCTGTGGTTCAGTGTCTGTGGGTCAGTGTCTGTGTGGTTCAGTGTCTGTGTAGGTCAGTGTCTGTGGGTCAGTGTCTGTGTGGGTCAGTGTCTGTGTGGTTCAGTGTCTGTGTGGGTCAGTGTCTGTAGGTCAGTGTCTGTGGTTCAGTGTCTGTGGTTCAGTGTGGGTCAGTGTCTGTAGTTCAGTGTCTGTGGGTCAGTGTCTGTAGTTCAGTGTCTGTGGGTCAGTGTCTGTGGGTCATGTCAGTGTCTGTGGTTCACTGTGGGTCAGTGTCTGTGGGTCAGTGTCTGTGGGTCAGTGTCTGTGGGTCAGTGTCTGTAGGTCAGTGTCTGTAGGTCAGTGTCTGTGGTTCAGTGTCTGTGGGTCAGTGTCTGTGGTAGGTCAGTGTCTGTGGGTCAGTGTCTGTGGGTCAGTGTCTGTGGGTCAGTGTCAGTTAACTTCCTACAGACAGAAACAAGCTGAAGTTCAGATTGTTTGTGTAATAAAATAATTCAGTTCACTGTAAATGATTAAATATTGATCAACTATCTGAAACCTCCACTAATGTAATCAATCATTAATATTCAACCAGTTAGTTGTACAGTTGTGTTCCAGCTGTGTGGAGACTGTGACTCTTTAATATCAGTGATAATAAAACTGTTTCAATTAAAAACTATTGTTATAATTTAATGTAAAGTTTCTGTTTATATGATTATAAACTGAATGTGTTTGAGCTTTGTCTGTCGTTCTGTCTGTCGCTCTGTCTGTCGTTCTGTCTGTCGCTCTGTCTGTCGGTCTGTCTGTCGCTCTGTCTGTCGGTCTGTCTGTCGGTCTGTCTGTTCTGTCTGTCTGTCGGTCTGTCTGTCGTTCTGTCTGCTGTTCTGTCTGCTGTTCTGTCTGTCTGTTCTGTCGGTTGTTCTGTCGGTTGTTCTGTCTGTCGTTCTGTCTGTCGTTCTGTCTGTCGTTCCGTCTGTTGTTCTCTGTGTTCTGTCTGTTGTTATGTCTGTTGTTCCGTCTGTCGTCCGTCTGTCGCCGCTGTCTCCGTCTGTCGTTCTGTCTGTCGGTTGTTCTGTCTGTCGGTCTGTCTGTCGGTCTGTCTGTTGTTCTGTCTGTTGTTCTGTCTGTCGCTCTGTCTGTCTGTCTGTCTGTCGTTCTGTCTGTCGTTCTGTCTGTCGTTCTGTCTGTCGTTCTGTCTGTCGTTCTGTCTGTCGTTCTGTCTGTCGTTCTGTCTGTCGTTCTGTCTGTCGGTTGTTCTGTCTGTTGTTCTGTCTGTCGTTCTGTCTGCTGTTCTCTGTCGTTCTGTCTGTCGCTCTGTCTGTCGTTCTGTCTGTTCTCTGTCTGTGGTTCTGTCTCTCTGTCGTTCTGTCTGTCGTTCTGTCTGTCGTTCTGTCTGTCGTTCTGTCTGTCGTTCTGTCTGTCGTTCTGTCTGTCGTTCTGTCGGTTGCCGTCGGTAATAGAAGCCGGTGGTTCAGTTAATCTGAGTGTTGTGAACTGGTTGCTTCCTCAGGGATTCCCACTGACGAGGAACAAGCCACGGGCATGGAGAGGATCGTCATGAAGGCCATGAAGGAGGGAGCGGTGAGATCATTTATCTGAGCAGTAACGACTTCCTGGGGAAATAATAACGTGTGACACTTAAAGTAAAGAGTGATCTCTGTTGCACATGCTCAGTACGGATCAGACACAGGAGGAAGGAGCAGCAGGTAAAGAGTGAGCGTCTCCTCCATCAGGGAACAGACCAGAGCTCCAGACTCACTGGTTGCACTGGTTGTACTGGTGCACCTAACTTTTGTTTTTTTAGGTGCACCCACATTTTTCATTGCGTCGCCTTTAACGCCGTAAGGTCACCTTTTTATTCCTCTCATTACTTTCATATAATGTGAATGATTTCTAAAGAAGAATAAGGTGTAGAGAAATGCAGAATTATATATAAACAGAAAATAAAGTGTTTAAAGTTCTTCACTGAGCTGAAACTGAACTTTTCAAGTAAAATAATTATTAATGATAATAATAATGATTACTACTACCTGCTGCTGAAATGTAGCTGGGAGAGGGGTCACGGCATATCCTGTGTTTTTTAGTCACGTTGTTTTTTTTAAAGTTTCGATAAGAAACGTTGTTGACCCGCTCATGAATGCACTATTTCCATCCATATTCTGACCGCACTCCTCACAGTACACGCAGTGCGTTACGTCCTTTGTTGAACCTCAGCCAGGGAAACTGTTTCAGCCAGTCCTGTCTGAAGGAATATATGTTGACCTTTTTAATTTGGGTCTCGGAGCCGGGCTCTATCCCAGACTCGGTTGTCTCCTCCTCTGGTTCCGAGTCTGATGCTGTCGCTGAAGGACCGGAGCTCGGTATCTCACCAGGGACCGAGGGCTCCGTGTCTTGACGGGATGGACTCTCAGTAGTGGGGATGGATGGGATTATAGTAGTAGGGCTGGTTGTAGGTTTGGTTTTCTTAATGAAAAAACGTTCAATATTTCTGCCTCTCTTCATTTTCCCTCGTTTTGTCGCGTTTATTTTATTTTTCTGTTTCAGTTAGTCAGCTACTCTCGCGCTCAGGTCGCGCGCAATTTTTAAACACACACAACTTAGCTGGGTGAACAGGACCACAGCCAATCAGAGGCAAAGACCCGCCCGAGCTCTGTCTCTTATTGGATCAGAACCCGATATGATCCTACCATGAGTGTGTGAGTTCACTCACAGGAGAACACAGAGAGATGATGTGCTTGTGAAATAAATGTATGTTTTCACCCGGGCAGCGTCAGGTGCACCAGTGCGACCTAGAAACATGATTAGTCGCACTCTGGAGCCCTGCAGGAGGTTAGCTCGGTGGAGTTTTGTTTCAACTGTTTCTGTTATTTAATATCTGCTAATAAATAAAACAGTTTGCACATAAAAACTGATGTAAAGAAGATTCCTGTCTCACTTTCTCCACCAGAGGGAGTGAGAGAGTCGGTGTTTAACCCTGTTTACACTGGAGCTGATTCAGTGATAAAGATCGTGTTCACTGGATCAATAACTGATAATCTGCAGTAACTACAGACAGCTACGTCTCCGTTGAGGAGTGGGACACTCAGATTGGGTATCGTCTCTACAGAAGCTCAGTAATCTGACCCTCTGCTCTCCTCCAGGATCCCTACAGCATGATGAAGCCGAAGGAGTACGCCGGCTCCAAGGCCGACCCCCACCTCGTTCCCTCCATCACCAACAAGAGGATTGTGGGATGTGTCTGTAAGTTCTCTGTGTAAAGTTTAAACATTATCTGGATTATGTGCAGGTACAGAAACCAACAACAACCAGAGGCAGATATATATTTTAAACTTACTTTATTCTTCCACTCAGACCTTTTGGAGGATAATATTTTCCTTTTTACTGAACTACATTTATTTGATGACTTTAGTTAGTTTACAGACTCATATTATTAATACAAAGTCAGTTTAATAAATGATATGTGATTATAGATTAACCTATATACAGTATAAAGGGATCATTAGCTCCACCTTTACCAGCTGCAACCTTCATCAATAATAAGGGTTATTGATCTTCATCAGATCAGTACTCAGATCAGTTCAGCTAATGGGAAGGAAAAAATGGTTTCAGAACATTTCTAATTAATTTAATCAGCAGTCAGATTAAAAGTGACCTGATACTGATCGTCAGATAAATGTTGTATAAATAAATAATAATTGATCTGTCTTTAGTTCCAGATAAAGTTATTTTAGACCAACAATCATTAAAGCATTCACATTCACATCAACCCGACATTATTCAGTGAGAATCTCCTTTTATATATTAATATATTTATCCAGCTGTTATTATTGTTTCTGTCTCACTGTGTGTGTCTGACCGGCTCCTCTTCGTCCTCTTCGTCCTCTCTGCAGGTGAGGAAGACAACACGGCCGTGGTGTGGTTCTGGCTCCATGATGGCGAGGCCCAGCGCTGCCCCTCCTGTGGTTCCCACTACAAGCTGGTGGCCCACGAGCTCCCCCACTAACTCATCAGCCCTCTGTTATTACAGACGCTGTCACACAGCTGTGAGCGCGCTCACTGTCTCAGATATTCCTCTCTCCTTCAGAGCGAGGTGAAGAAACATCAGACGGCCACGTTTTCCTCCTTCAGTCTCCAGGAAGTTCCTTTATCTCTGAACCCTGCGGTTCCGTCTACTTCCTGGTGTTAAGTTGCGAGCGGTCGTCTGATTGGTCTTCGGCTCGCTGTGTCACAGTACTTGATCTACCTGCTGACCTCATCAGTCTTTGCTTTACATGTTCCCGGTTCAGAGGGATCAGATGTGGTTCGGGACACAACTGTTTGATTCCAACATTTCCATTCAGCTGCAGTTTACATTCACACTGTACTGTACAATGTTACACTCTCACTCCTTTATTCCAATAAACTTTATCCACTCTGGTTTATGGTCTGTCTCTCATTTATTCTCTGTTGGTAAAGCTCTTTAAAAGCATTATTCAGTTAAATTAAGACATTACAGTAACATTACACACACACACACACACACAGAAACTGACACTTACTGGCATACTGTAGAATGTCAGTTTAAAGTATTTACATGCTGATAGAAAATACACCACAATGTAGTGCAAAAAGTGTAATACAATACATCTAGTTTAAATCAGTGATCAGTAGATTTGATTTATTTTGTTTATATGATGTACAATGAACAGAAAATAATGTTGCATACTAAAATCTATACATGAAATTGAACGTGTCTATAATCTACTTCTTGAACAGGAAATCAAACAGCTCACTGAAATATAATGACATCATCTCGGAAAGTGTTCTGATCGTTTCAGGATCTCCTGCTGTCTACCAGCTGAAACCAAAGAAAGATAATATACAATATACAACAAATAAAGATGATATTGGACCTTTAAGAACACCTTGCAATGACAAACAGAACCATTTTACTTGTTGGTGAAACAGGAACAGGAAAATCTACTCTGATCAACACTCTGGTCAACTACACCATGGGAGTGGAGTGGGAGGACAATGTCTGGTTTCAGATCATAGAAAGAGAAGTCAGTCAGAGAGTCAGACATCAGATGTGATCGTTTATGAGATCTTCCTCAAAAGCTGAAGATAACTGTGGACGTTCTGAATTCACGAATCAGACTGACAGCCTGCATCCAAAACCTGAAAGAGAGAGTTGAGTTTATTGAACTAAAACAGAAAGAAATCCAACAGACTGAGGAAGGTCTGAAGAAATATGAACAAGAAATGAAGAACAATGAGAAGTTCACTGTAGAAGTTGATGAGGTCTACAAAGATAAAGAACCTATTGAAGTATCCTGTATCAGATCATGTGAAAGAAAAGTGAAAAAAAAGGAAACAGAAGAACTTCAGAAAGATAAAGATCAGTGGTTGGAAGAGTC